ATGTGCAACACTTCAAGTTTCTGATAAGCCTCCCCTCTGTGATGATCCCCCTCTTCTCCCGTGTTAAGTTAGTCCCTCCCTCCCGTGGACGTCAAGTTTCTGAAAAGACCCCCCCCCTCCTCTCTCTGTTCGGCAATTCCCTCTTTCCCGGGCTAGGTATGATGAAGATGATGATGAACTTTATTCATATGTCAATGTATTTAGCTGACGCTAATTGGGGACACAACGTAAATGAATAACCTAATTAATGATAAGAAATAAGCTATAGATTATATAACCGAAGAGGTACAAATTACGCACGCGGAGCAATTGTTAAAATTTATCAGTTCGTTAAGATAGGTAGCTTTTCAGAATAAAATGTATAGAAAGTCCAGGAGAAGGTCGGTTAAATTTAGGTTTTGGTAGATTTCTCGGCTTCAGAGAGACCAAAAAAAGCTCCCAAGTTCCGAACGTGTCAAACAAAATAATTGGAAAACGTTAATATTAAGTTTTATCCAACCTTTTTATTCTTGTTTGGTCAGGATTGGTGTGATATCAACAAACCTAGATGAAGAGAAAGGAGAAAATCATCATTCAGATGATGTAAGTTTTTTTTTGCCTGGTCATCAGCGAAATGTAGTTGGATCATTAAGCTGACGCGGAAGTGTTCCCTCGTATTGAGTTCCGAAGGTTTCTTGGCATGTTTTCTTTGTTTGTTTCTCGTCGTTTGTTTTAAACATGAGCCCTGTTTCGAATACAAAGAGTAACTCCGTCCCACTTATCGACGCAAATGTATTTTAGAATTGATTTGTGATTTGCTTGGAATTGACTGATTGTTTTATTGACTGATTCATTCATTTGTTCATTATTTTACTGATTGACTGACTGAGAGACTGGCTGGTGGATCGATTGACTGATTGATTGATTGATTGATTGTTTGATTGATTGATTGATTGATCTGGAAGACCTCCGCACTAACCATCACATCCTTAACTAACGTGAGATTTGGAATGTTAGTTTTCCTAAAATAGTTGCGGTTGTTAACGTTGTTCCTTTGTTTTGTGAAAGTCCAAACAGGATCTTCAAAGGCGTAAAGAAGAAATGGCGCAAGCTGTGGAGGCTACTCGTAAACGACTAGAAGCTGTGAGTAAAATTTCGTTTTCAGATTTTCAATAATCGGTCTTGGTCACACACTGGTTTTCCGCACTAGTAATACCGCGGAGCACCTGTTTTTCAACTGGATTCTCTTTGTTTGTCGCCTTGTTGGTATTTATTCTTATAGATCGTTGTAATTGTTTTACTTTAGTTATGATTTGTTTTGAAGCTCTCTTGCTTTTGGGATCGACCGTTAAATTTTAGTTTTAGTTTTTCACAGCACTTTTTTTTAATTGATCCCGTTAATGCTTATTTTATTGTTTAGCTGGGATGGAAAGCCAAGGAAGACATTTTAAAGAAGATGCCAGCTAACAGTGCGACGTCAGCAGCATCAATAACCTCCGTCTCTTCGGTATCCAGCACAACTATCATTTCTTCTAAAACTATAACAGTTTTATCCAACTCCGGATCATCTGCAAGCACTGCAAGTCAAGAACCTTCCTCTAAAACCAATACTGTGTCATCATCTGTCTCGGCTACCCATACTTCATCCGTGACTGCTACCTCTAAAGCCAGCACATCCATGTCGTCCACACCCACTACACTGGTAAATTCAGCCTCCGGTACTGGTAAAAACGGGGATAGTACACCCGTATCGGCATTGACAGAATCAAGTAGCAAACCTTCCGTCATAACTAACCTGCTTGAGGTAGGTGCAAGTGCCACGTGTGAAATTCGCGTTCAAGCGTTTCCCTACTATCATCTTTTGCCACTGGCTTTATTCTCATGTGAAGTGAAAAAGTTAGACCTCGAGTTGTCCCTCCCAGTGGCAGATCTAGGTGAGGGGCACGCTCCCCCCTCTTATTTTGGGTAAAAAAATAAACGCGGAGAGAAGAAAAGCCAGGAGGTGAACAGACAAACAAAAACGCCACCCCCCATCCCCTTAGCTAAAGGTCTGGATCCACCACTGCCTCCGTTTCGTGCGCGTCATTCCCAGACGTCCGCGCGGCGCGTCAAAATAAATTTTTCCTTTTTTCACTGATCTTTTTTTTTAACTCGCACAATGGACTTCACCGTAAAGGAGGGACTGCTCGTAGTCTTGACACTGCTCAATGAAGGGAATAGCTGATTAACTTGAAACTCCTTGGTGTAACCTCTCCCTTGATATTAATATACTACCCGCACATAGTTGCGGAGAAAGAATGAACAAGACAACTAGCTAATGGATGTTGCCTTCATGAGTCATCACTTTCTCAACTAGTTTACAGGAATACGTAACGTAACTGGTAAGGAGAATTCCAAGTTAGAGTTCTACATGCATCGTAGCCTTTGTGTGTTAAAGCCGTGTGTTTCCTTGTTTAGTTAATTTTCCTTGTGGATGTTTTACCTTGAAGTGAGGCTTTTTTTTTTTTTTTTCTGTTGTTGTTTTGATGTTATTTACAGACGAGATTAGCAGATGTCCAAGGGAACCACAAAGAGGAACGGAAGGAACAGTCGGCTAAGAAAAATATCCCTGAGTCGAAGAAAGATAATGCCACAAAGGGTGAAGATACCGAGAAATCCAAGCGTTCTGCGTCTAATCTGATTGCATTTTTCAGTCAGTCAAAATCATCTAAAAATAAAGACAAGGAAAAAGAAAACACTAAGGAAAAAGAGAGAGCGAAATCTAAGGAGAAAGACAAAGAGAAAGGGAGAGCCACACCCCCGCTGGTCAAGGAGATGTCTGATTTAAAATATGCCTCAGGGGGTAAACTTGAACGTCGGGGCTCTGAGGGAAGATCATGGAGAAAATCACTGGGAATTTTAGGGGGAAGCTCCAAGCATGACAAAGAGGACAGGCATAAAAGGCATTCTGAACCCAGATCTTCAACTCCACCTGACTTGCTGTCGAGAAACGCGCAAAAACAAAACGAGAGGGAGGACAAGTTGAATAAGAAACAAACCGAGACGCGTTCGTCCACACCGCCTGTTGAACAACAAGTGAAGAATTCCCAGTCAGCTAAACACCACGAAAGCACGTTGAAAACTTTACAAGAAGAAAAAGACAAGAAGTCATCCACTAAATCACAAGTTGAGCGGCGATCGTCTAATCCGTCATCCGAGCTGGTGGGAAAAACTTCCCAGCCGCCCCGCACTAAAACAAACGATTCGTCTTTGTCTACTTCGTCGAGAAATGCTCCTTTAAGAGAGAAGAAAGGACGGGTTTCTTGTGAGGAGAGACGAGAAAAATCGCGGTCGTTAGGTGACATAGGTAGCACACTACACAAAGTAGAAGTTTCTATTTTAGATCCGACTGTGCCTCCATCTAGAACTGTTGATACTATGGATATACCGGATCAAATAAAAACTGGTGAAAAACGACCCAAGTCAAGCGCCGGGATCTTAGAGACGACCCCACCTCAGACGAAAATGCCATTAGAGCGACATTCAGTCGATGATAAGGATGTTTCTGGAACAAAAAATATTAAAGAACGGTCTAACGTTTTGAATGGCACTTCGGATAAAAGCGATATTACGACTAATAGTAGCTTGTTAACAAGTAGTGAGAATTCGACCGAACGAAAACCAACTTTGGACAAGCAGCTGGATTCTGCGTTGGGGGGGCCTGGTATCGAAGCTATATCGGTGCCAGGTTCTCCAGAAAAGAAATCGAACTCTTTGGATCTGGGAACCAGTAAGGCCTTGTCACCACGGAGAACCTCTCGGAGCGGTAGCGGGTCGAGCTTTTTGTCTGATATCAGTGAACTTTCAGCTGAGCTGTCGGCAGCTATTGCGTCTCCACCGCCTGAGCCAATCAGATTGAGCATGTCTGAGTCGAACTTGTTGAGCACCAGTCCTCCTTCGACAAGTAGAAAATCTTCTATTGGTAAGGATCATGGTGAGAAGTTAGTTTTGTTTTGTGAACGTCCTGGTTATGTCTAGTTAGGGTAGTGCTGAAAGACTGAAGTCTGGGAATCATATTTACACAACCAGCCGTGTAGTTATGTAATTGAAGTAACGCCTTGAGCTCGATTAATTGTCATGTCTTCTTTTGAGTTTGTTATTTACAGTCTTCCAAAACCTCTTCCATCTGTAGTCTTGGCTTGTCATGGCCACTTTTGTATTTTTCTCTCCTACCGAACCACCATTTGTAATCTGAACTGTAGTGCACTTCAGTTTAGCGCATCCTGAAACACGACTGAAATTTCTAGACTTCTCCAAAGGTGTCAACAGTAAATACCAGTGGTTCAATTCGTTGACGTGTCGCCAAAGTAGCAGGCAGAGTTCTTCCTAAACTTGTCACATTTTCCAGTTGAACCTGGAAAGCTTATACCCGAGAATGCTAGCTAACGAACACCATAACACTAGTAAATAACAACGATCGTAGACAACACAAATTCAAAAAACTGAAAAAGAATTAGGCAAATGAAACCTTTTCACCTTTGGTCCAACCTTGCAGATGCTGCTAACTCTACCGATGTTGATCAACATACATGTCAGGAAACCCTTGAAAACCTTGTACAAGCTTTTCAAAAGGTTATGGATATTCAATCCAAGGTGAGAACGACAAAGTTAACTTGTGGATACTTATTCCCAAAGAGGAATTCGTTGGCTTTAATTGACCGAGATGCCAAAATGAGCCCTTTTCTGTTCGTGAACACTCTTTTAGGAAGAGGCGCCAAGTACAGAGTACTCCTTTCTCGTCCAGTGGAAAGTCCATAACGCTTTGACGTTGATGGTCCTAGCCGTGTTCTGCGTGATTATATGAACTTAGCATATGGCTCAAGTCACTAACGAAGTCTCTGAACAGGAGATCAATTGTTGGAACGCTCAACCGCGAGAAGTTCAGTTATACTAGGGTTTAAAATCCTTCATCTCGGAGGCTCAGTTTTTGTCAAACGCTATCAACCAATTTGAAATATCTTTTTTTATCTGCAGATTCTGAATGGAGAACCCTCGGACGATAACCACCAACTGTTATCGTACATTACCAGCACTTTTTCAGCCATAGAAGAACAGATTCACGATTCGCGTTTTCGACGGCGGAAATGGGAACTCTCTCATCTCCCTTGGGGTAAATCCAGTGCAGCTCCCAGACCCCTCGGTGGCGCGCTCAGCTTCTCCACCGGAAACCTGGACCAAGTTGGTTCAAAACTTCGTCCTTTAAGGCGGACTTCTGAGCTTTCTGTTTCATCGATTCCTGAAGAAGACGTTGAAATACATGAAGTGTTACTAGAAAAGTACTCTGACAGATTATTAGAAATGGTCGCAAAAAAACTGAAACAGTGAGGAAAACTTTTGTGTTGTGAGGACACCCCGCGTATCCAGCGAGAGTTCTCATTCTTTGAAACAATAGTATGACCAGGAAAAAGGGGTTTGGTTTTGATTAAAATGACTGAGAGATGGCCGTAAACTTGTCTTCTGACTTAGTCTTTTTGCCGCGGTACAATTTGTTGATTGTCCTTGGCTTACCTGAACGAGCGAATGCTACCGCAGATGATGTCTATTCTAGGCACCATTGATTACCATTGGCTTGTCATCATTACTGTTGTGATGTGTCAAACTACAATTCTAAGGAGCTAATTGAGACTGGACTTTTAAGTGGAATTTTTTTATCGCTGTTCCTATAAATTGTTAGCTTAACATGGGAAACAACAGATGAAGTTGAAAGAATTCCTTATGACGCTGGCGAGGGCAGTTAAATGCAGTTTGATTCTGGTAAGGGGAATCGTGGTTTCATTACATACATCCAATGTAACTTAAGTTGGAGGATTCACCTATCTTCAAATAAGTCGTTACTTGAATCATCGGACAAACTTCTGCAGCTCCGATATTTGAGTTGCTCTTTTCCTCGTTGCTCTTATTTTTTCTCAAAGGAAGTCATCAAAGTAGTTTATGAGCAATTTATGAAAAGAATTCCATAGTTTCGTTCAAAACTTGATATTAAAAAAGTCAACATGTAGATATAAATAAAACCTGTGAAATATTTAGATTGTCTCTTTTTACTTGTAGAATCGCATAGCTTATGGTAAACACGCGCTCTGATTGGTCAATACGTCAACCGGAAGAGAGGGTATTTAGCGTAGAATCGCACTAATGCATAAAGCGATATCGCTGACCTGAGTCGCGAGCAAAAATTATTGTTACGAACGTAAAAACGTAAATACAACTAGTGCTACAAAAATATGAACAAATTTATAGAAAACGAATGTCTTCCAAATTTTGAATTCAAATTCAAATTTGTAGAAAATTGGAGGAAACCACTCACGCTCAAAAATACGAGAAAACGCAGAGAAAAAAAAATCAAAATGCCAGAGACGAGGGAAGAAAGCCAAACGACAGTTCTTGCCGAGGAAAACCAAACAAGCGTTACGAAAGAAAACCAAAACAGGTCTCGAGGCCGAAAAAGGTCAAGCATCTTTTCCGGAAATCCAAACCATTGTAGCCTATACAGACGACGAACTGGCCTCTTTTAGAGACAACATGGTTTCAAAAAACACTAGACGGCAAATTCACAAATTCGAGTGGTCGCAAAACAGTCATCCAAGCGCTCCATGATGATTTCGACCCAGTGGAGATATCAGAGCTCATTGGCCACTCCAATCCGGAATCCATATCCAGCTACAGCCATAATCCTCTTGAAAAACGGCGGCGAATGTCGAATAAGTTGGCCGGTTTCAACCCACGCCAAGCACGACAACTACCAAAGGCTATTCAAGTCATGCTTTACGGGAGATTGTTCTCAATAGCTCAGTCACGCCAAGCAACACAGCAGCTACTAGTGACCTTGACAGCAATGCCAGCCGTTCTAGTTACCTGATGGCAGGAGCAGTTGGCGGGATGTTTACTGGAGTAACTTTTAATAATTCTCCAGTAATTATTTCCATTGACACCAACGAGCGACTCCCTGCAATAAAAGAAAAACAGTTAAAATTGTGACTTTTAACCTTTACTGAACTGTGTTTCGTCAGAGTTTACCGAGAAATTCCAGTCTTAATCATTATATTTTGAATACACTTTTTTTTATAACTGAAAAGTACTTACCGGTTTTTTTGTAGATCTTGCTTTAATACCGGAACGCTTGAAATTTTCATTTCGCTTGAGGATTTGACCATTCAGTTGTTGATTGTCGGCGCCACATTTTGCCAAGTTGAGTGGTAGCAGGCAAATCTCTGTCTTAAATAACTCCGTATTATGTACTTTTAGTTTCTTTGCTGAAGATTGTAAAATGTGAGGCACTGCTTTCTCTACGAGTTTGAAATAAAAGTGGTTTTCATTCTAAAAATATCTTGTTCCCTCTATTCGCTAGATATTGACACCTGACTTTGAAAGGGTTTCCATTGTTTGCGCACTGACGTGGCGCACAAAAATACAAAGCATCTGGTTTCTATGGTGGGTGATTCCCGCCAATATTCAACTCTAAATTTGATGTTTGAATTGTGAATTTTATGTAACAAGGGATGTTATTTAGTCGATTCTATAATTGTAAGCAGGTTTCTTATTTCCTGTCCTCTTCAAATTTTGTGGCAAAATCAATTGAATCGCATACAACGAATTTTATGTTACACCAAATTTTATGATTAAGTAACTTTGTGTTGAACACGAATTTGGTGATGCAAGGCATCTTGTAAACAGCAGCCAGTGTACAGTTTTCAAAATTTCCAGCTGATGCATCAAACTTCGTGCTGCCTCAAATTTAATGCTGTCTCAAATTTTATGCTGCATCAAATTTAATGCTACATCAAATTTAATGCTGCATCAAATTTTAGGCTGCATCAAATTTAATGCTTCACCAAATTTTATGTTGACAAGTATCGTTCCTTGGGGACTGGTGACTAGTCAAGAAAACGAGGCAGGAGGTTTCCCGCCAAAATACAATCTGGTTATCAGAAATGGCGGATCAAAGCTCTTTTCTTTACGGGCCGAGGAGCTTTAGGCTTTTAGAAATATCCTATCGATCCTACTTGATGTCATTCGACATCTTGAGGCAGGTGACCTTGATTCAAATATGATCAATGCTTTGTATTTTGGACTGGATTGGCTACATGGCTTAATCATTCGCTATTTCGATGTACACGAACTTGGCGCGGAAGTTGTGCACCTGATAGGTACAGCTCGCGACCAAATTGCTAATCATGTCAATCGTCCACAATCTTCGGAAAGTCCTGTACCACCAAGAATTTCCCTCGGAGACCGAGGTCGCCCGAGATATCTGATATCAAGAGAACAAGTTGAATTCTTGCTGGAACGTTGTTTCAGTGTAGTGACATTGCAAGTCTTCTGGGTGTTAGCGTTCGCACGTTAGAACGACGACTCTCCGAGTTTGGCTTGAGGGCACGGTCAACGTATTCAGATATAAGCGACCAGGCACTTGACAACATTGTGCGAAACATTTTGACAGAATTCCCGAACACTGGCTACAGGCGCATGACTGGTTTTCTTCGAGGACGAAGGCTACGTATTCAGCAGTTGGGCAGTTTCTGGGCTTTTACATAGATCAACCAGAGAGGCATTTTGTCTGCACATGTTCAGTAAATTTTTGTTTGAAGTGGATAACTGCTGCAACATGCCTGTGTGGGTTTCCCGCGAAAGAAGTGAAGGAGGAAAATGCGTCGGAAAACAATAGTGGAGCGAGTTCTTGCGACAACTTTTCTTGTTATTTTTCCCTCTGTAACTTAGACGGAAGCATCCTAGTCTTAATATGGTTGTGTGGTGCGAAAGAAAGTCACATTGATTGATTTTCCAAACGTAAAAGGGTGTACAATCGAGTTCAATTCCATTACTCTGTAATAATCGTTGGTGCGATCGATGTAGATTATCTTTTTTGTGAATGATACAGGAGGCCTGTCGAAGAGCACAGATGAATTGGAAAGTAATTTAATCATGTCACTGCTATCTCAAGAAATTGAGTACATTTGTAGTATTTACTTTCCTTTGAGTGTTTTAGAGCTTAAACTGCTAGTGCAATCAATGTATTTGCAATTTCAGCAAAAAGTAAAAGTTCACAGAAGTTTAGGTTTTGGTTGAAAAGTTTTTTTAACAAATCACAACTGGCGGGAACAATTACTGAAACACATAATGTCATTGTGTTGCATTAAGAAAAACAAGATAATGTTGGCACTAGAGATATGTTCGTCATAACCTGGGGAAAATGGCAGAATGATTATGGATTTTATCAGAGAAAAGAAAGTTCTTTTCAATCATCAGTCTCAAAAATATCATCACATAAGGTTTATGACATGAAAAATTTTACCAAAATCTGATCACTTTGTTTTGACCAAACTACCCCTTACCCCCAACAGATGACAATTGCACCATAACTGGAGAGGTGTGTACAAAAAAAGAAAGACCACCCTGTTGCCTAAATGTGAATAAAATCAAATAACACTTTGAGTTTCCAGTTGTAATAACAATAGTTAAATGAATCAATTATTTTCCTAATAAAAAATTTGACCTCATCCATCCTTCTTACTGCCCAAAAACATCACATACACCTTTTGCAACCTCACTTTTCAACCTATGAAATTACGAGAGTTATCTGACAATTTGATGAGAACCTGTACAGCTGATAGTATCAGTGAGGAAGCTCTCATCCTGGAAGCTTAAACACTCTTAAGGAATATGACTGATCACTCCTCACATTCATTTTCAATGAAATCTGGACAAAACTTCTGAAAACTTTATTGGAAATTTTATTGGTAATTTTACCAATTTTACAAATAAAGTAGACATAACTCCCATATAGCATATTAGTCTAGGCAAGTTGTGTACAGAGAACAAAAGACTAATAATTTAAACCAGTAGTAAGCTTCTGGGAATAATGACAAATTCTTGAATAACAGCTTGCCACAGTAAATGTCACTGCCAACCATTCTGTCTATACTACCAATTATTGGGTCACTTCACATTACCTTAAACAGAAGAGAACATAAAAGTTAATTCATATCATCAATCTTAATAAATAAGAATTTCATGATCACGACA